TATGTGAAGGAAGACAGTAGAAAACAGTTTATGAAGTTAGTAGTTGTGGTGTCTTAACGAATTCTTATTCAAAAAATTCTCTTGGTGCTGATAGGCACAGTTAAAAATCTTTTTTTAATATTTTGGCTATAAAATTAATGATCTCAAATTTTGGATATCAGACAATAATGCAAAACCATAGAGAAAACAGAAGAAGAAAAAGTTCGAATAAAAACAAAAAGACGGCGAAGAATAATGAAAACAAAACCACTGCAGAATATAGAAGAAGGAAGAACAAAAGAAGAATAAGAGCGAAAAGAAAAACCGAGAGGAAACTCCAGAAGAGAGAAGAATAAGAAGATGACTGAGTACAAAGAAGATAATCAAATGTAACTACCATGTTTCCTGTTTTTCTATTTAGTAAGGATTAATATGTTGTTTGTGTATTCTGTTTAAGGACATGAAAACCATGAAATAAATCTGAGAAAAAAATTTCAGAGACTTGATTTTCTTTAAACATAATCGGTCTAAGTTATATATTTGATTGACGATGATAAAGAAGGTAATTAGCCTTAACATTGAATTTTTTTTAAAAAATGAATCAGTCTCAATAAAATTTGGTATATACCGATGTAAATAAAAATAATATATAATACAAAACTTAGCATAATCGACAACTAGATATATGTATCAAGCTCTAGCTCTAGGTCTATATACATATTTTAGTTTAACATCGAATTAGTTTCTCTATTATAGATTTATGAACGAATATTTTTTACTGATTCATTATTATTTTTTTTGTCTTTGTAACGTCATATTTTCGGTATAACTCACACCATATATTTCAATTTTAAGATTTATAACATATCTTACTTTAAGTGATAAGATTCATGCTACTTTATCCAATAAATACGTAGACAAGTTCTCAAAAAGTGTTACCGAAAATGATTGGGTTATTTTGGTTGACTTTGATCTTATTTATGTGGTTGAAGTGTTTAGATTTACATCACACCCTTTCAAGATTCGTTGGAAAGTTACAATCGTTTTTCATAAAATTACTTATCAGAGTAATGAGAAATGTTTTTTAGTTGTCAAAAAAAAAGTAGTGAGAAATGTTTTAACTTCATAAAATTTGATACCATCAAAACCGGATTAGTGGACACTTCAATTTTTATAGGTACTTTGTTTCCATATAACCTTTTTATAACAATTTGTATTTAAACTTTTTAAGAAAAAAATGACAATTTTCTTTGTAAATTTAATTTTTTTAAGTAATAGATGTTGGAAATTTTGTTGTCTGCTTTTCCTTAAAACGAAGCCGTCGTTATGGGAATATGTTTTTTGAATTTGCAAACAAGAGGTTTGATTTATGTTATTTTAAATTGTTTACATTTATGTTAGTTTAAATAGTTTAATCCATTTTTGTGTAATTTTTATCATGTTTATTCTTGATATCAATTTCATGTGTTCTAATAGTGTGTACTGGCCTTCGTCTACAAGTGCACCTTAATGGTAATTAGCTGCCATGAACGTATGATCATCTGTGTATTGAGGTTTGTGAAGATCATCCAAGTGCATGAAGATCATCCAAGTGCATGACGTTTGGATTATTACAACAGCTTTCAAGACAGTAAATTATACCCTCAATTCCCTAAAGTTCACCATCTCAAGAAGCTTATTCTGCACACTCAGGCTTATAGTGTATTTTAAAAAAGAAAACCTATTAATGTTGCTTTCATTAAGTATTTAATACTGTTATTTTTTCTATTTTTACTTTACGTTTTGTATTATATATAATGAAGTTAGGTCAATCAAACACTGGTCAAAGATAAATTTTATATCAACAATTTATAGTGAATGTTTGTAGAGAGTATAGTCCTTACCGAAATTAAAATGAATAATTGTACAATCTAATTATCTATAAATTCAATATGTAATATGTAATTTTGTATATAATTTTAAAGTATTTATGTCCGTACGCTGCTGACAACCACCTAATAAAATAATATAACAATTTCTTATTTTACACTACTTCTTATTTTTCTCTCTAAATTTCTTATTTTACACTACTTCTTATTTTTCTCTTTAAATTATAGGAGATATACTAATGAATATTCACCTATAGTTCCTTTTACAAACGTATTGTCATTTTTTGCTAATCATTTAACTTTCTTCATCTTTTCAGCTCCTCATGAGTGGAGACGGTAATAACAATACAAAAACCCTATTTTTCACATCAAATCATAATAATTAATATATTCTGTTCAATTAGAGTTAATGATGTTTATATGATCATTATACAAGGTTTTATTGAAACTTTACAATGTTCAATAATAAGGTTTTATAAGTTTTATAAATCACATATTTTTATGGTTTACAGTTTTATCAAGTTTTATAAGTGTGCAAAGTTTTTTTAAAAATATAAAGATGTTTATAAGTGTTGGAGGTGAAAACCGCACCCCGATTTTCTCCGGTACAAACAAAAATTGGCACGCTTAAACAGTTTACGAAGGAACCGTACTGAGAAAATTGGGCCAAACGAGCTCTTAGACCGAACATGGCCCATTAACACAAAGTCGGTCGGAACTTCTCAAAGTAATCGAGAAGGATCCTGAGTTCGGATGAAAAAAGAAAGTTCCCGAACGAACAAAGGAAATTCTCGAGAGAAAAGGAAAGCCTTTTCGGTCCCATATCGAGAAAACGTCTTGCGAAAACCGACTTAAGGCACATATATAAAGGGAGAGAAATCGACACCAGAAAACATAAGAAAATCCGAAGAGACTTAGAGACCGAGAACTCAAGACATACTCAGTTTCTTAGTTTCCTAAGTCTTAGTTCGTTTATCATTCTCATAAACAAACTCAGTTGTATTTTGTCTGATCTAATAAAATCCGAATTTTTGATATAAATTACTTTTTTGCCCTTTTGTGTGATATCATATATCAACAATTGGCGCGCCAGGTAGGGGGTTTTACAGAAAAACTCAGTTTTTTGATCGGAGTACGGAAAAATTGGACCGGCAATGACAGACCCCATTAATACCCAACACAGAGATGAGGATCCCCTTGAACAGAAGCTCTGAGACAACCAAACTCCCGCATAACGAACAGGGAGAACCCCTGGTGAAGCCACCAAAACCGGGAATGGGCAAACACCCCCCACCGTCAGAGCCCTCGGCACAGAGCTGCTCCTCCAAGTATTCAATGCACAGTTCGAAGCTATCAACAAAAGGAGCAAGGAACGCTTCAGCCAGATGGCAGCCCAGATCGCCGAACTCAGTCAAACTCGAACTCCATTGCGAGCTCGTAACATCATTGACGATATCAATACAGAGAGCGATCTTACCGGGACCATGCGATCTGCCGCTCTCGGGTCAGCAAACACTCCAACACCGACGGATACAAATCATGACACTGAGTTCGAGGCAATGAAGGCACAACTCCGCCAGATCACGTCAAAGATTCATCAAGCAACGAGCGCGGCGCCAGAGATCGACCGTGTTATCCAGGAAACCCAGAAGATGCCTTTCACTCCGCACATAACGGGCACACCCGTTCGGCACATGGAAAAACTCAAGATCAAGATCTACAAAGGCAACACTGATCCACGACACTTCATGACCTCGTTCGGGATCTGCATGAAGCAATACTAGTTCCGGTCTGCTGAAGAAAAGGACGCGGTCGAATGCCAACTGTTTGTTGAAAGTCTGGGTGGAATTGCTCTCGACTGGTTTTTGCGGCTCGAGGCAAACTCGATAAACAATTACAAGGAGCTAACCACGGCTTTTTTCAAACACTTCTCCATGTTCATTGGACAGAATACCAAAAACTCTGAGTTATGGCAGATAGCTCAAGGTGCGAATGAAAGCCTCCGCAATTTCATCCATCGCTTCAAAACAGTGGTCGCCCATTGTACAATGAGCGATGAAGCCGCCCTCCTATGTCCGCAGAAGGAAGCTCAGATAAAAACAAGTTTCCAAAGCACAATCAAACATAGCCCGCCTCAAACCCTGGAGGACGCCTTGCATCGAGCTAATACTTACATAGCAGAAGAGGAGGAAGAAACAGCTCACGATCAAAGCTACACAGCCAAACATCCCGAACGACCTAAAGCTAACACTTACGAGCCCCAGACAGATTACGGCACAGGATACGAGAATCGTAAGAGGTTCTATACCAACGCCATCCAACAGCCGAACAAGCAATAGAACAATAAAATGGATTCATAATAACGAGGACCAAGATGAGATGTTGTTCTACAAATTGCACAACCGCAAAGGACACAGCACTGAAGACTGCAGACATTTACGGGAATATTTGCTCGCACCATACCAGAAAAGGCAGATCTCGCTTGATGATCTCTGCCGCTCAACCACACAGAGAAGCAAGTCACCCCGACCCAATAATACACAGCCCGATGGCCAAGCCCAGCAAATGACATCCCGGCGTTACGACCTCCTCCACCAATGTTACTGAATCCACCCGCCCAACCTGAGCAACAAAAGCGTAACCGCGACGAGCCGACACCCGAGAACCATGCCCTCAAAGCCAGAAAGCGCGTCAACATGATCATGGGAGCCATCGAAGCTTGCAGCTACTCAGTTCGGGCGATCAAGGAGTACAGCCGGCAGGCCGACACCTCCTAAATTCCTGCACGATACCCCGAAAGGAACTCGAGTGGTATTTACTGAAGCCAACATGATCGGACTGCATAAGCCGCACAATGAATCTTTAGTCGTTGAACTCCTTCTGGATGACTTCAAAGTTAGCCGCATACTCATCGATACTGGCAGCTCGGTCAATATAATCTTCAAAGACGCACTCGACCAGCTCGACATCCCAGCTGATTAAATTGAACCTTTCATCGAACCACTCACCGGATTTGACGGTGAACGTTGCATGATGGTCGGCACAGTAAAAATCCCAATCTACCTCGCCGTAGTCGCAACGATCATCCAATTCCTCATCCTCGACAAACCAGCGATCTATAATGCTATCCTGGGAACTCCTTGGCTCCATGCGATGAAAGCCGTTGCCTCAACATATCACCAGTGCCTCAAGTTCCCAATCCCCGACGGCATATACACCCTCAAAGGTAACCAAGCCATCGCTCGGTCATGCTACATTAACGAGTGAAAACTCCGATCAGCCAATCAAGCCTGCATCATTAGCTCACAGGGTACAACAACCGACCTAAGCATGAGGTCATCACTCAAGTTTGCATCGACGAGCTACGACCAAAGCGCCAGGTCGGTATCGGCGCTGAGCTCGACCCAAAGATCCAGAAAAGCCTCGTTCACTTTTTGAAGCAGCATTCCTCCACCTTTGCATGGTCAGTCGAGGATATGCCCGGAATCGACCCATAGATCGCCTGTCACGTGCTCAACATTGACCCGACTTACAAACCGACCAAGCAGAAGCGTCGGAAACTCGGACAAGAAAAAGTACAGGCCGTCAACGACGAGGTCGAACGTTTACTCAAGCCAAGGTCAAATTACCAAAGTCAAATATCCCCATTGGTTGGCAAACTCTATGGTCGTTAAGAATAAAAACGGCTTGTAGAGAATCTGTGTTGACTTCACCGACCTCAACAAAGCCTGCCCCAAAGACAGCTTCCCTTTACCACACATTGATCGACTTGTTGAAGCAACTGCCGGGAACGAAGTCCTTTCCTTCATGGATGCGTTCTCCGGGTACAACCAGATCCTTATGCACCTTCAAGATCGCGAGAAGACGTCATTCATCACCGACCGTGGCATTTATTGCTACAAAGTCATGCCATACGGCTTGAAGAATGTGGGTTCGACATACCAACGTCTCGTCAACCGGATGTTTGCAAGTCAGCTTGGTCGAACCATGGAAGTCTACATAGACGATATACTCGTAAAATCACTTGTCGCCACTGACCATGTCGGCCATCTCCGTACCTGCTTCGATATACTTGATCAGTACGGCATGAAGTTAAACCCCACCAAATGCATCTTTCGCGTAACATCGGGCGAATTCTTTGGGTACATCTTCACTCAATGAGGTATCGAAGCTAATCCAAAACAGATTGCAGCGTGAAGTCTAGCGGCTAACCGGGCGTATTGCAGCACTCAACAGGTTCATATCCCGATCTACGGACAAATTTTTACCGTTCTATCAACTCCTCTGAGGAAACAAGCACTTAGAGTGGAATGATTAATGCGAAGAAGCTTTCACCAAATTCAAGAAGTACCTGTCTACTCCTCCAGTTCTGTCGAAACCTGAGACCGGCAAAACACTTTACCTCTATATCACGATCTCAGAATACGCCGTCAGTAGTGTACTGGTTTGGGAGGACAGAAGCGAGCATAAACCAATTTTCTACATCAGTAAGTCCCTCGATGGTTCGGAATATCGGTACCCAACTCTGGAGAAATTCGTTTTCGCTGTCGTCATCTCAGCACGGAAACTGTGCCCTTATGTCCAATCACATGCCATCGTCGTCCTGACCGATCACCCACTTTGCATTTTCCTCCATAGCCCCAGTCAGTCAGGTCGGCTCGCCAAGTGGGCAATTGAACTCAGTGAATACGACATCGAGTACAGAAGCATGACCGCAACAAAATCCCAAGTCCTAGCAGATTTCCTGATCGAAGTACCTCCAAAGCTGGTCGATGCCAATCCAATCGTGCAACCATGGATCCTGCATGCCGATGGCTCATCCTCTAACAAAAGCTCGTCTCAAATCCCTGATGGCGAGATCCTCGAGCAATCGTTTCGTCTTGGATTCCCGGTATCAAACAATGAAGCCAAGTATAAAGAACTTATCGCTGGATTACGACTCGCTAAAGGAACCGGTGCCGAACACGTTCACGTATATTACGACTCTCAGCTCATGGCAATCCAATTTCACTGCAAATACGAAGCTAAGAGCGACTGCATGGATGCGTATCTTAAGGACCTTGCTTCGGACTTCTCAACTTTCGAGCTCACGAAGATACCGCATGACGAGAACGCCACAGCTGATGCCTTAGCTGCTCTGGCATCCAATTTGGATCCCAACCTTCGATGAACGATCCCAGTTGAGGTAATCGATCGACCTAATATCGACCCGGCGCCCGTTTGTAACATCATCACACGACGCTGCGATTATGAGGCACACCCGAACTTAGCATCACCCCTAACAAGGAAGAAAAAGACCACAAAGTCTATCGCTGACCTTAATGTTGAACCCGAAGCACCGAGTGACACCGAGTCTAATCTCGACAATGAGTCTGAAGGCCAATACGTCCCAGTCGACATCAAGGCTGAAGGCGAGGACGAGCCCGAAGACTAGACCTTGGAAATCGTTGGTTATATCAGCGATGGCACGGTCCCTGCGGGCAAGTGGGCAGCGCGTCACCTTAATGCTCGTGCAGCTCGTTACATCGTCATCAAAGGTACTTTACTCAGAGGGGACGCATCTGGCGCGCTCGTAACCTGCGTCCACGGAAACGACATCATGGAAGTCATGCAAAAAGTACATGAAGGCGAAGGAGGGAAGCACTCCGGAGCTCGCTCCTTGGCATTCAAGATAAAAAAAAAGCCGGATACTACTAGCCCACGGTGCTTTCAAACTGCGAGAAATATGCCGCACGTTGCGAGAAGTGCCAACGTCACGGTCCGATGATTAACCTTTCTACCGAACTCCTAATGACTTCTACTGCACCATATCCTTTCATGCGATGGGCAATGGATATTATCAGACCCTTTCGCCGATCAACCAACCAGAAACAATATGTGCTCGTCGTTACCGATTACTTAACCAAATGGGTTAAAGCTGAAGCATACCCCGAAATCCACGACATCGACGTAAAGAAGTTTTTTGGAAGTTTATTATCTGCCGACACGGTGTACCATATGAGATCGTCACAGACAACAGCACTCAATTCACTTCCATCATTTTCACTGACTTCTGCGCCAAGTAGAAGATTCGTCTGAGCTTTTCCACTGCGAGATACCCACAAAGAAACAGATAGAATGAAGCCACAAACTAGACAATCATCGACAACCTCAAAAAGCGGCTAGACATGGCAAAGGGAACATGGGCAGACAAACTCGACGGCGTTCTATGGTCTCACCAAACTACGTCTTTTCACTCCACCAGGCAATCACCTTTCTTTCTTGTGTATGGAACAGAAGCCATGTGCCCCGCCGAACTGAACGTTCCCAGTATTCGCCGAACAATGCTCACACAACAGCCGGACACCAACAAAGACATGATGGTTCACACGATCGACTTGGTCGAAGAGCACCACGAACGGGCATTACTTAGATTACAGAACTACCAACCGCTGGCATCTCGTTACTACGATAAAAAGGTTAAGAGCCGTCACTTCGAAGACGACGACCTCGTCCTCCGCAAAGTCTACCAGAACACCGAAGAGAAAAATGCAGAAAAACTCGGTGCAAACTAGGAAGAACCTTACCAAGTCATGAAAATCTTTAAGCCGGTAGTCTACCAGCTAATGAAGATGGACGGAACCCCGAGTCCAAGATCGTGGAACTCTATGCCTCTCAAGCGTTACTACTATTAGGTCGATGATTCTGACCTAAAAAAAACAATAAACCTCCGAATGACTACGTTCAGAGAGATCACCTTTTGTACTTAGAACTACGAATGGCTTGATCCCTTTTCAAAGGGTACGTAAGCAGCTCGTCACCGAGTCCAGATATAACATCCATAGAATTTTATTAACTGAAATCTTGAGACATTTGAGTTCGTACTTACGAAATACCGAAGTCAAATTTATTACATCGATTTCCTGGCCAGTTGTTCGATAGCATTCCACATGAATACAAACTTAAAAACCGAGATCCGTCTCGCCAACAACCACACGATGCCGTGGTAAACTCCATATCGTTAAACCAGGGCCACTCCCGCAATAAAATTTCTAAGTCACCAAGAACAATAAGTCGAGCTCATCTCGCACACTTAGGTTTGACTAAGAAGACCTTGAGTTCGTATCATGTGTCTACAAGGGTTCGATCACTCGCCCTTCCAGTATGATAAAGCTCACTTGGTCCCCCAGGCCGAGCTCCTAAACGCTCGCACCAAAAGCCGAACTCCTCAAATTTGCATCGTAAGCCGAGTTCACAATACTCGCAAGCGTAAGCCGAGTTAACGTAACTCCCTATAAAAATAGATATAGACACGCTCTAACCGAGTTAGAACATTCATCTAAGGTTATCCAAGTCCGTTCTAATACTTAGCACAATTTCTAAAACAAAAGCACTGAATGCTAAAGCAACCAGATAGATAAAAATAGAAAGCCCACCGAGGGCCAAATAATTAACATAAAAACCCACCAAGGGAAAAGAAAAAGTGTCGGGTTCAACAGACCCATTTAAAGTACATAAGTTCGAAAGTAGAAAGAGATAACAACATATTAAGAAAACCGATTAATTTGGTCTTTGAAGCAGCTGTTTGGTCGGTGTTGATCATGTTCTCGTTCGATCCGAACTCCTCGACTCCTGTCAGATTTTGGCCTCCATCAGTCGGACCTTCAGCAGGGACATCTTCTTCAATCTCACCAAGGGGCGACATGCGTTTGTCGTCCTCAGTAAGGATGCATGCATCGATGGCCTTATACTCTTGCAGCGCCACCGCATACTTCGATTCGATATCTGCCACCATGTCAGCCGGTACCTCGTAGAGCGCCTTCTTCTTGAGGTTCTTGATAAAGCCGAAAACGCCGGTGAATTGATTCACCACAAGGTAAGGCTTGCGAGCTCGGTCAGTGTCGTCCAGGCTCTAGATAACCTTCTCCAGGCGTTCGCAAGATTTCGCGTGAACTTTCTTAACACGATCTCACTCGCGGGCCACGATCCCTTGCAACCGCTTCTTGTCTTGCTCGAACTCCCGAGACAAGAGGTTTTGCGCCTCAGTTAATTCGGCTTTCGCGGCCTTCAGCTTGGAGCTCTCCTCCTTCAGAAAGTTGACGGCATTGTGATGTGTCGTGTGGTGAGGGTGTCAAGTTTTACCCTAAATGAAATCAATAGCCGCAAGTGCACAGCTGATCGATTGTAGTACTTAGGGATCAAATCCACAGGGAAGGAGGATCTTTCCTGTAAAAGCCTTCGAAAGAAATATAAAGTAAGGAAGTTTAGAACTAGGCGATTTTTGTAAGGGTTTTGGTGGTGTCTTTAAAACGTAAAAACTAATATTCGTCATCATAAACATCAAAGACTGGATCTTTGTCTTGAATTTGATCTTCGTCATCATAAACATCAAAGACTGGATCTCCAATAATATCTCTGAAATCTTCACATAAAAATCTCAAGAAGAAACAAACAGATTTTCATCTATGGAAGAAAAAAAAATCCAAACAACATGGTAATCAAGTACACAAAATCGAACCTTGATTGAAAAATCATAGTGCTGGCTCAGATACCAACTGATGTAGCGGAAGCTATAAAAAGATAGAATAGTAATCCGTTGATTCTGAGAATATCCAGAAAACTAGGATAATCGCAAGATTATTTGTTTAGTCTGAGATTCCCCTAATAAACCAAACATTCTTAGATTCGTTGAGGTCTCTCAAAATCTACCAAAAATAGGGAACAAAGAGACAAAATCTCAGTTATATTAATTAATGAAAAACTACATACAACTATATGCCTAAACAGCTTATTTATAGTAAATCTAAAACAGTAGTAAAACCATAAAACAATAAACGAAAATTGTCTAAATTATTAAGTAACTAATTAAGATATTTTGAATATTGACAAATATGTCCAAATATCTATCTCTTTAAAGTTTCTGCTACATCATCTCGTCGGTTGATTGTTTTACATAGTTTAGGATGTTTAAGCTGTCTTAGTTTAGGTCTCGACTTAGTGTTATTATGGGTTGTTTTTTCTTCTTCCTCTAACTGTAGATTGTCTTAATGAGTCTGACATTGCTGGTTGTATGATTGTTTGAATACAACTTGGTGTTTAAGCTGCTGTTAGTAGCTAATGTGATGTGTCAATCATATGACAAACGAACATATTAGAAACATGATTAAAATAATACGAAACATTAAGAGTTGAAATAGACGTGCAAAACACATGTACGACATATATATTAATAAAACCAGATAATGTACTGGTTTGGGAGGACAGAAGCGAGCAGAAACCAATTTTCTACATCAGTAAGTCCCTCGATGGTTCGGAATATCGGTACCCAACTCTGGAGAAATTCGTTTTCGCTGTCGTCATCTCAGCACGGAAACTGTGCCCTTATGTCCAATCACATGCCATCGTCGTCCTGACCAATCACCCACTTTGCATTTTCCTCCATAGCCCCAGTCAGTCAGGTCGGCTCGCCAAGTGGGCAATCAAACTCAGTGAATACGACATCGAGTACAGAAGCATGACCGCAACAAAATCCCAAGTCCTAGCAGATTTCCTGATCGAAGTACCTCCAAAGCTCGTCGATGCCAATCCAATCGTGCAACCATGGATCCTGCATGCCGATGGCTCATCCTCTAACAAAGGCTCGTCTCAAATCCCTGATGGCGAGATCCTCGAGCAATCGTTTCGTCTTGGATTCCCGGTATCAAACAATGAAGCCAAGTATAAAGAACTTATCGCTGGATTACGACTCGCTAAAGGAATCGGCGCCGAACACGTTCACGTATATTACGACTCTCAGCTCATGGCAATCCAATTTCACTGCAAATACGAAGCTAAGAGCGACTGCATGGATGTGTATCTTAAGGACCTTGCTTCGGACTTCTCAACCTTTGAGCTCACGAAGATACCGCATGACGAGAACGCCACAGCTGATGCCTTAGCTGCTCCGGCATCCAATTTGGATCCCAACCTTCGATGAACGATCCTAGTTGAGGTAATCGATCGACCTAATATCGACCCGGCGCCCGTTTGTAACACCATCACACGACGCTGCGATTACGAGGCACACCCGAACTTAGCATCACCCCTAACAAGGAAGAAAAAGACCACAAAGTCTATCGCTGACCTTAATGTTGAACCCGAAGCACCGAGTGACACCGAGTCTAATCCCGACAACCAGTCGACATCAAGGCT